TGATGCCATATGTGCTATTAGCTCTTACATTGCTTTGGATAAAAGCATCTGCCAAATGAGTAAATATAAATGTGAATGCTGTCATCACCATTTTTGTTATTATTGTGCTGTTTTACACAAGCTGTTATTAAAAACTCCCCCTGGTAAGTTTGTTGTCCACCAGTTTTGTTCATAGAAAAACTAAAGACACACTTTTGAAAGATTGTATTAAAAAAGACAACAAGAAGTGCAACAAATACAATGAAGATTTAAATCAAATTTTGTTTGTACAACTATTATTATTATATACTCAAAAAATATTTAAAGTTTTTACAATCCAACTATTATTTACAACTATTAACAATTTAAAATAGCCCACATTTCATGTTAAGTTTGACCTTATTTCCTCCAACACTGGTACAACAACACTCCTGGAAAAGACTGCAACAGAGTGCAATACAACTACAACAAATACAATGAAAACAAAATATAAATACTTTAATAAACAATATTGTACAACTATTGGTAGGTGCCCTGAAGTACTGACATAAGCTGGGGTACTACTGACAATAGACTAAAGGTTTATCCAGCTGTTGTGAGGATCTGAGGTGTCAGAAAGGGTCCTGGTGCTGGGGTGTGCCTGACCCTCTCTAGCAGCCGGTGCAGATGCTCCTGTCATGCTGGCATGGGTTCAGCAGGGAGCAGTGTTGCTTCCTGAAGAGGCTCTTCAGACTCAGGGAGGGCTGGAGGCAATGTAAAGCCCTGGAGCTACACAGAGAGCTTCTGCTTCTTCTGCTGGTTGTTGACACTGGATGAGGGTGTTCTGGTTCACCTGCACCACCTGCATCTCTCTTCCTTGCATCATCAGGGAGTTACCAAATACCAGCTGCCGAGTTTTATGATAGTATCTCAAAATTAAGGACCACCTTGAATCTGCCATTTTTCCCATCCTAACCGGGCTTGGATGAAGGTTGCAGAGTATTATAAAAATGTTCTCCACCAACTGACAGCAGTCAGGCCACTACCTAACATGCAACAGGCAGTGCTCTCATCGCGTTTTTGAGGGCTTCTTTCATATCCTGCAACTTCTACTCAAAAGTCTCCTGTGATGTCCTGTCGCATAAACCACCCACTCACCTTCATCCAGGCTCTCCCACAGTGCAGTTCACCTGCTGACCGCTGAGACAGAGAGAGGTCTGATCCCAAAGCTCCACCAAATACTCAGCAAGTCTTTCCACAAGCTGGTACCCAGGAACATTTTGGTCATCATCAGCCTATGATGAAAGACTTGATAAAACAGCAATGAAAAACCTTCTCTGACTTTTAATGACACTATAGCCATTTGACACATAAAACATACAAAAGCATGTAAGTACAGACAGTGAGTATAAATAATGACAGAAGCACTACTCCAAATTCTGACAGCATAATTAAGCAGCCGAGATATGTATTGTTCCTTAGTTCTGTGGGTGTAATGTTCCAGGTGTGTGGCTGACTAATAGTGGAGAGCTAGTCTCATTTCAGTATACCAACATATCATACCTACATATATTGATCATCTTGACACTTACCATACTTTCATCTTGCATATCAACTACAGCCCCAGAGGACGAACTGGAAGGCAAAATGGAGGCACAGGAGCCAATTGCACATGTGCTGGGAGCCAGGGAGGATGTGCTAGGGTGGAGGTGGCACAAGGCATGGTGGATGTATTTGGAGCCAGGGTGGAGGTGGAGAGAGCTAGTGTGAGCTAGTGCTTCACAATATTGCGGAAAAAGTGCATTGTGATGATTATGATTTAAAGTTAGTGAGAGTTGCTTTGCTAATCATGCTGGACTGTTGCTGGATGTCACAAGCATACCTGAAATGTACAGAATTATTCATTCATTCCCTTATTGGTTTATTTAAAACAGGGTCATTGTACAATAAATTTAACTAAATAAAGCACAATGCTAATTTCCAGGGCATTAAGTGCTTGTTGAAACAGTTTACAATGTCGTTGTATTGTTGTTACAGTAGAGGCAACAAAGAATCACTTTCTCTTAATATATTTTTTATGATTATAAACGTGTAATTTTTGTGGACTTCAATGCTAAAATTTTTCACCTCGGATCTGCCATGATGTGTAGGCCTAGTTATTGATAAATATCTTTGTAACTGTACAATTATCTTCAGCTGTGATTTCACTCTCAGCATTTCGTTTGTTCCATTAATTAATGCTAATGTTATCCACAATGTAAAAAGTTTAACTTTGAACTAAGGACTCCGTAAGAGAATGTTAAGTCAAAAGTGGTTTAGCTTTTATGCCCAACTTCATTTTGTACAAGACTATTAGAATCTGGATCTTAGCTGGTCTGACGTTAGTTTGGCTGTTGGTTGTTGTGAGGCCAGTGCATGTGCATCATAGCTGCAACTGTATTTAAGTAACTAAGAATACATTTGAATTTGATTAAACCGTGTTCGATTTTCCCTGAGAGGATAATTTCAGTGGTTTGAGTCTTTTTAGGTTAGGATCACCTCAAACATATCTGGTGCTGCAGGTCCAGCTGTTCCCGAACAGTCTCAATGGTCGACAGATAGTTCAGGGTGCCCACAGTACACCCGAGTTTCTCTGTTACCATCAGGTAATATGTGTCGATGTCAAGGACCTTCTGAACCCTCAGCTCTCAGTGGGGGAGGATTTGAAACTATCTACTGTGTGACCCACATTGCCTTATTTGGACCGTAGACTGTTTATACAAATATTGAATGCAAATATTTTTATTATACTTTTTTCAGATAATAATATCTTCATGTGTAACAATTATTTTTTCTTACATAATTCCTCGTATAAGCATAAGAAACATGCTTATAGGAGCCATTTTTCTTCTGGTAAATGTTGGAGTTTTCAGAATGACAGCCAGCAATGGAAAGATCCGTTCCCCAGCTCATGTGATGAGCTTTTTGCTGTAGGCATTCTGGTCCTGCAGGTAGTTTTGACTCCTCCTCCACTGAGAGCTGACAATTACAAAGTTCGTTGGCTTCATCCACTGTGAGGACCCCCGGCCCTGCTCCATTCCGCTGTCGTGCCGAAAAATGTTATCGTCTGCCTAAAATTGATGTTTGGTAGGCCTATGTGTAATATCTTTGTTTATATTTGGAAAATGGGCTGTAGCCTAATTAACATGACTTACTGCCAACTTAGATATAAAATGAAGACAATTTTGCAATTATCCTTATGACTCTGCATTATTTTACTTGCTGTGTAGGCCTACCAACCAATCCACTGTGATCTGCCAGGAGCCCACGAAGCGCATTCACATCCCCACCAGTCGCCAGCCGCTGTCCATGTACAGCCGGGCATGCTCTCCCGCCGGGACCATATTAAAGCCAGTATTACCTCCATATTTGGTTCCATCTTAAAGATGGACTCAAAATTACCAAAAAGGTAATAAATTATCTGACTGTAAGAGATTCCCATGAGAACATTACATATGCAGTAAATTTGTGCTGCGTAATCAATATAGCCTACACAACTGCTATAAATGACGTGTAATCTTAAACATCAAATTCCAGATAACAAATAAGCTGGATGCCACGGCCATCTTCCATCATACTCTGAGGAATAGTTAGATTGTACTGGGTGTCTGTTCTAATAGAAAAGTCTGTCTCTCTGTGTTGTCTGGGCGTGGCTTCTCACTCTGGGCCTCGCACTCCACCTCCACCTGCACACCTGATCCACATTCCACTAATCAAGACTCTGCAGTATATCAACCGGGTCCTTCACCTCACTCGTCACCAATTCGTCAGCTTACTTAAGTGGTATTTGCGCTGCGGGCTACAAATCGCCAGTTTTATAGTTTGTTTCTTGTGAGTTTACCTTGTCTCTCTGTGCTCAGGATCACTGCCTGCCTGGAGATCCTGCCCTTGCCTCGCTCAGCTCACGGCCCGCCTGGAAATCCACTCGCTGGTCTCCATTCCCTGGTCTGCCCTCTGCTCCGCTGTCACACCCTGTTTTTTCGGTAAACTTTAAATTCCTGGATTTAAACCTGCCCCGAGTCCGCTCTTGAGTCCGTTCACCTAACCTGCCATAACATGCACAGAGGATGAAACGCTTATTATTCCAAAATAAAAGGGATCTCCGGCCTGCATACACTAAACCAGTGGTTTGCAAACTTTTTCACGTCAAGGAACCTAAACTGGCACAAATTAGACCCCCCCCCCCTCATTTGATAAGACTTTGTGTGTATGAAACCCATGACAAAAATAGTCATACTTCCTGTCACTGTTACTTATTAATGGAATTATAGTGAAAATAACTTATTCCCCTTTTTTCTGGGGACCCCTGGAACCCCCTTAAGAACCACTGCGGAGAACCACTGCCCTAAATAGTAAAAAAAACACAAAGTAATTTGTACTTTGAGTAGTTTATTTACCGAGAACTTGTATACTTTTACCTTATAAACTAGATGGCATAATCATAAGTATCATAAACAGGGCTTCAATATTGATTATTAATTATCACAATATATGTCAACACATTATTTCTTTCAAGTTTAAAGGCTGATTTTTGTTAAAGTTAAAGAAACCAGATGGTTAATTTTGGTTTTAAACTTTTCTTTATGGTCAGAACATGACACAACACTTGCCACACAGTGGATCACTATATGCATGAGTAAAAATAAGTAAAATCTTTTTTCAATCCCTTTTCCTCAACAAAATAAACAGCCTATCTTAATAGAAAACAATAAGCGCTAGTTTGTTTGTGATTCAATTAAAATGAATTAAAACAAACATATGTTATATTGTTATTGAAAATTATTGTTTTATTGCCCAGCCCTAATCATAAATAAAAGCTGTAATTAAAAAATGTTCTCACCTGCAAACTAAGAAGACCGCTCGCCATGATGGCTCTGATTTGTATCGGCGTACAGTGAAAGGGCGATCCTTATCAGAGCCAACATGGCGCGTCTCCCCTTTTAAAAAACAAACCAATCAAATTCATGGAAGATTTTTCTATCCAATCAAAATCCATTTGAGAGGAGGGGACTCCGGAACCAGGAGGAGCTGTTTTTGGGGTGTTGTGAATTTGTGTTGCGAAGAAATCTCGAGTGGGAGTTGTCGGGCTGATTTGTTGTGCATTTTGTCCGTCAAAAACGCACCGATTACCGACGCGCCAGCCGCAGCCATGCCCGGGATAGAGAAGCTGCCGATAGAGGAGACGCTGGAGGACAGTCCGCAGGTAACACAAGCTCTCTTCCCTGGAGGCTTCAGTTAGCATGCTAACGTTAGCCGCTTCTACGGCTAGGCTAGTAGTCTTTGTAGGCTCAGTGTTTGCCAACAACCAGCGGAGAAGATACCAAGATCAGGCGGCATGCTAACCGCTAACGGCCCAGCCAACCGAAGCTGTCAAACGGGAAGCTCCTGCTGTGCGTCGGCTTCAAAACGTGACGGCTTCACCGATCAGCTGGTGGAGGTTCCCGTCAGGATGAGAGGTCTAAATGTCAAACGGAGGCACAGCATTTTGTGTTGGTTTGCACAGAAATAAACTCGTTAAGTTACATTTAGTTAGCCGGGTACTTCCTTAGCCACTTGGGTAGCTCTTTCCCCTGCTCCTTAAGTGTTATGTAATGTTATCTTTCTGAGGTGTCATCCTGCTGCTTTGTGTTATTGTTAGAGTCACACATAGCAGAAAGATGCAGCTAAAACACCTGCTGTGACATCACTGATTGAGGTGTGGCCACAGTGTGATTTGATCAATCTGTAGATATTGTTTGGATGTTGCAGTGGAGTCCTTTTGCCTGTATTATGGTAAATAATCTGTATTTGTAAAGCGCTTTTCTACTCTTTACCCTACCACCCAAAGCCACAGCCACCTCGAGTTCCACTTTTAGTTTGTCTCTCATTTTGTTATTTGGATTCACTGGATAACTGGTATCACAAAAAAGTATATCAAGTTATCTGTTACTGCAGGGTTTTCCTACGCAGTTGTGAGTTTGTATAAAATATACAAACTGTATAAATATAAATACAGGTATATCACAATCCTTGTACGCTTAATACATGGTGCGACCTGTCTTTTTATAAATTTGTGGGACAAGACCCACTATGAGGTATTTATATTATCTCTCGACGGATGAGGTGACAATGACAATAACGGATGAGCTAAAGACAACACGTGCAGTGGACACACCTTGAGAACACTAATGTGCTGTGTGGGCAGGTAGCAGGTGTTGATTTACATAGATAGTTGTGGGTTTGGTTTGTGGCAGTTACACAGAAGAGGTTTTATAGATCAGTCAAATGATTATCACTGACCTCGTTTACACGCATTTTTGTGTACAGACACGCTCTCTGCTGGGGGTGTTTGAGGAGGACACTGCAGCCATCTCCAGCTACTGCACACAGCTCTACCAGGCCATGCAGAGGATTTATGATGCACAGGTACACACACACACACACACACACTATTGACAGGTGTATTGCCACTGGCTTTGCAGGTAGGGCAGAACATACAGAAACATTAATAAGTCACAGCTGACTGGGAAATGTGTCTGTTTTCTCCATCAGAATGAGCTGAGTGCTGCAACACACCTGACCTCCAGACTACTGAAAGAGTATGACAAACAGGTAGGCCAGGTCACCTCCTGCCGTATGACACTAGCCACAGGCCATATAACTATAGCCTATTATGACCATTATACTTGTTGTTAACTATCAGCCTTATAAAAATACCCATCTGTATTAAAACACCAGTTATCTGCCTTACAGTATAATGCTATTCCCCAGTCTTATAACTGACTAGTAACAGACTGCAAACTAGTAACACTAGCCACTGGCCTTTTCTGTTACTTCACACATGTATGCCTTCATTACACCTCTGGTTATATGATTTTACACATTTAAAGATTTTTACAGCTAGCTATGATTGAAATCTGTGGCAATCTGTCTGTCCGACAGTTTTGTAAGAATTTTGATGACCCCTGACCTTTGCTCTAGAGGCAACTTCAGGTCTACATTTAACCAACATTTATTCCATGACGTGCTCCATTCCTCCACTTTGCGTTTCATGCTTATTTGCTGCTGCAGGGACATATTTTCCTCACAGGATTCAATCTAATCCATTCCTCTATGTTGCTGCTGTTGTCTGCAGCGTTTTCCTCTAGGGGGCGATGATGAGGTGATGAGCTCCACCCTGCAGCAGTTTGCAAAAGTCATTGATGAGGTAAGATTGAATACAAACACACCGAGCTCTGTCTGCTGCTGTCAGGCGGGTTTGTTTTATCCTGCTGGATGTGCCACATGGGCAGGTTTTTACCTGACATAAAGTGACGTCACAATCGATTTACTATTAACATCTGGGAGAAGGAGAGCACACTGCGTTCTTCTATGGTCACACTGTGATCGTTCAGCTTATTCATCCTTAACTTTCTCTCTCTCTTTCTTTCTAGTTGAGTTCCTGTCATGCTGTCTTGTCCACCCAGCTTGCAGATGCCATGATGTTTCCTGTTACTCAGTTTAAAGAGAGAGACCTGAAGGGTAGGAAACATGCAAACCTTCACATGCAGTAAACTAATAATCCGACCCTGCCACTTCTCTGGCTTAAAGAACTACAACTTAGAAAAATGAGCAACCAACAAAGGTTTTGTTGTTGACAAAGTACACTACATCACCAAAAGTAGCATTAGTGAGGTCACCCACTGATGTTGGGAGATTAGGTCTGGCTCGTAGCCGATGTTTCACTTCATCCCAAAAATGAGGGCATTTTTTAATGGACCATGTTTTGTGCATAAAGATATGTCATGAAACAGAAAAAGGTCTTTCCCAAACTGACTGTTCCCACACAATTGGAAACACACTGTTGTCTAAAATATAAGAGTTCGGTTTAGTGGAACCAAGGGGCCCAAACCGGGGAAAGGTCCACTTCTACTAATGTGTGGTGTCCACATAAACAGAAACAGCTGGAATATCCCTTACACTATAACTTGTTCTTTTTGTTTTCATGTCCTTCTCCAGAAATCCTCACGCTGAAAGAAGTCTTCCAAATAGCCAGCAATGGTGAGTTAGTACTGTTAAACTGCTATATTTTTATAATAATATCAGCCCTACAACGGGGCTTGATGCTGCTGTGCACATATTCAAATAATGTCCACCTGACGTCTGCTTTTAGCTCAGATAAGAAAAGATGAGAATCTACAGTCGCTTACTCTGTCAGAGACTTGGGCAGAGTTAGTTTGTCGCATCACAATGTAAAGATAAATACTTAATCTGAAAGAACAAAATGTGCAAATATCTGTGTCAGTATGATTCTTTTGTTCCAGATTATCTGCACATTCAGTGAAAACCCACAAAACGCTCATTTGTTGAGGTTTAACTACACTTAAAGGGAAATTCAGCTTGTTTTAATGGTTACTGGCAGAGTGTTTTTGTCTTTATTTCAGTAACTGCTTTATATACTATCCTTTTTAACCTGTGTAACTGTATATTCAAAAAACAAGATTAAAAAAACATGTTTTACCACCAAAAAAAGTCTTACCTGCCTGATTCTGTCTGCAGATCATGACACAGCCATTAACAGATACAGCCGCCTGTCCAAGAGGAGAGACAACGAGAAAGTAATCACACTCCTCACATTAGGTTTATCATTCAGTACTTCAGTAAAGTAAAATGTAATACTAACCTTGTAGGTTATTCTTTATTTCACGGGTCTGTAATTTCTAGATAATTTCCTTAAAAGAACTTGTTGACAGGGAAAATACATTGTGTAGTTGGTTATGTTAATAACAAGTGATTGAGATGAACTGTTCCATATAAACCCAAGTAAAGTATCTATTCAATTTCCTGTAGACAATTTTCACATTTTGCGTGATCAGTTGACCTGTTGTGCAACTCAGCGGAATTAAATCATTGCCAATTTCATTTATACTAAATTACATTAGAAATATCTGTAGAAATTATTAGAAAAATACAGACTTGTGAAATAAACAGTTACCAACTTCTGGTCTGCTTTTTAGCATTTTAGCCCATTAACCTCTAATTGTTTATTTTTTACATTATTGTTGACCACTTTATCGCAAACTTCTGTTTTAGATTATATTAGTTAGGCATTTCAGTTTGTTTCTATGAAAATCAACTTGAAGAGACCTCAAACCTGCTTCAGAGTAACCCCATTGGTCAGTTGTATTTTTTATTGAGAGTGACGGTCTGTAATTGTTGTGTGGGGATGCAGATGTGTCTTAAAAACTCTCCTATATGTCTGCAGCAAGGTCTAGATTTCTGCAGGTTGATTTGCATAGAAAGGATATTACCTCAGTATGTGATATTTCGTCAGTATATGATCTTTCCTCATTACTGAAATAACAGGAAGTCGTGTGTGTGTGTGTGTGTGTGTGTGTGTGTGGCAGTTGCGGGCGGAGGCTGTGGAGGACGTCTACACCTCTCGCAAGAAACAGCACCAGACCATGATGCACTACTTCTGCTCTCTTAACACACTTCAGTACAAGAAGAAGACGGCTCTGCTGGAGCCGCTGCTGGGCTACATGCAGGCCCAGGTACACACACAAACCAATGTACACAAATACACACACACTCACAGATGGGTGTCCTTCATCAGGAACAACTGTAAAGGAGAAGTTGAGTTTGTCTCTGAGTTAACTTGTCCCGGTCAATTTCACTGACTAATTTTAACTGATGCTGGATTTAACCAGTTAAGAGTCAAATTTAATCAATCAAATAAAGTCAGAGGTTTTCCCATCTGGATCAGAGCTGTTACCAACCTGCTGATGTATCTTTATCCGTGTTTGTTCTGTGCAGATCAGTTTCTTTAAGCTGGGTTCAGAAAATCTTACCCAGCAGTGGGAGGACTTCCTGGGAACCATAGGAACCAGTGTCCAAAAGTAAGAACCCCCTAAAAGTTACTTATACCGTATATTCGTCTTTAGTTTTTTGTACATTCAAGGTCTTTAAATATTTTGTTTTATTTACTTAAACCCTATTTTAAAGCTTCAAAGGTTTTGTGGTTTTGAAGAAGTTGGAAATGTGTTAAGACATTAGTGACAAATATGAGGAGAGCATGTGAATTTATTGTGTGTGTGTGCGCGCAGTGTGCGTCGTGAGATGGAGGAGGAGGTTGGGCAGATGCAGCAGACTATCCAAGATATGGAGAGATCATGTGACCCTCTGTACGCACCGTGTGACCCTGATCCCGCCCACTCACCTGTCTGTCGCAACCTGACCAGGAAACAGGGCTACCTGTACATCCGCAAGTAGGACACAGACTCATATTTAATACTTTTATTTAATAATGTCATTAAAGCTCCCATGTGTAGAGTTGTTATCAGGTCATAGCATCATTAAAATCATGCTGAAGTTTTTGGTTATAGAAAAAAAGTGAACAATCCTGGTGAAAACTGTTTTACATAGAGCAGGTAAAATAACTTGTCACTATTTTCTCGGTAAATATTTTTCTAAAGGTGCTATTGACATGGAAAGTTCACCAAACGCTGGTAATAACCCAAGTAACAAATAGATTAAAAAAAAAAAAGTCCAGAAATTAAGTTATGTTTAATAATGTGAAATGACATGGGGAAAAAGTATTGAACACATGAAGAAAGTGAGGTGCAAAAAGGCATAAAAGACATAAGCTGAAATATATCAGTAATTAAAAAGCAATCTAGCCCCTTGTTAGTGCAAATTAACATTAGCTGGTTCAGTCCCAACTGTTGGTGAAAAAGGTGTCATTACAATGGTGTCAAATAACGAACATCGCAAGATGAGTGAAAGCACAGAGCTTACTTAAGAGCGTCGCAACCTAATTGTTACAGAACATACTGATGGCATTGGTAACAGGAGGATTTCTAAACTTCTGAATGTTCCAGTTAGCACTGTTGGGGCCATAATCCGGAACATCATTTCACCATAAACTACACGTTGAAGCACATTTAAAGTTTGCTGCACAAGAGTTGGACAAGCCTGGGATATACTGGGAGAATATAGTCTGGTCAGATGAGAGCAAAATAGAACTCTTTGGATGCCATAATAAACACCATGTTTGGAGGACAAATGGCACTGCACATAAACCCAAAAACACCACAACAATAGTGAAGTCTTGTGGTGGGAACAACCATGGTGTGGTGCTGTTTTTCAGCAAAATTCATATAATTAAAGAAAGGATAAATGGAAAAATTTCAAAGACATTCTTGATAAAAATCTGCTGCCATCTACCAGGCTGATGAAGATCAAATAAGGGTGGAAATTTCAGCAAGACAATGATCCCAAACACATAGCCAAGGAAACATTCAGAAATTGCTCTCAGAGAAAGAAAATAAAGCTGCTAGAATGGCCCAGCCAATCACCTGACTTTAATCCAACTGAAAATCTATGGAAAGAACTAAAAGATCAGAGATAAAAGAAGAGGCCCATGCAACCTTGAAGATTTGTGGAAGAGATGGGTCAAAATCACACCAGAGCAATGCATGCGACTAGTTTCTCCATACAGGGGGCGTCTTGAAGCTGTCATTACCAACAAAGGCTTTTGTACAAATGTGTTAAATACATTTCAGAAAGTGTGTTCAATACTTTTTCCCTGTGTCATTTCACGTTATTACACATAACTTAATTCCTTAACTTATTTGTTTTTTGTATGTATGGATTACTTGGGTTGTTACCAAAATCTGGTGAAAATTTCATGTCACTAGCACCTTTAGAAATATGCTTACTGTGAGAAATGGTGAAACGTGAGTTTACAGTACTGAGTTTACCTGCTGTACATACGTTCCCTGGGTGAGATTATACTGACTTGCTCTATATGTCACATGGTCTGTCTTTTATTCTACCACTGGGGGCCGCCAAAGAGAAACATTTCCTAACCCACACAAAACGGCTTTAAAGGATAATTCAATTTTTTACAACTTGAATCTTATTTTCTGTGTGTGTGGGGGGGGGGGGGGTTGTCCATCCATTATATAAGTAATAAA